GAGGTCTTAGAATATATAATTCAATTTTAATTATTAACTTCTTATATTTAACAAGTTAAAAATATGTTTAGAACTTTTCATTTATACAATTTTTTTGGAACTTTGAGAAATATCGATTTGTAAAATTGATTTAACAAGACTAAAGAATTCAATAACATTATAATGTATTTTCTTAATTGGAAAATCTTATTAAATATTTTAAATCTAAATACACCAATTAACTTTTTTTCTAGGTACATAAAACATAGGAAAAAGGAATACTAATAGCTAGCTCTCAAATATGAAAAATCTTTGGTGGGTAGCAAAATATGTTCAGAACCAGCTCGTATACAGTGCAACCGGCGCACCTTGAGCATCATGCTCCACTTCCCAAAACGACGTAGTTTTGCACAATTTAAAAAAATCGCGTGAACAGTACATGCGTGAACAGTACACACGTTTACAGTAGCTATTTTTTTTCTTTTTGTCCCAGTAGCATGAGTGATGTAACTCGCGTGTAAAGATATGTAACTCGCGTTATTGATTAATGTAACTCAAGCCCGTTCGAAATGTAACTTGTCAAATACATAGTATTACAAATAAAATATTGATTTGAATGTAAATAATGAAAAAAAAAGTCTAATTGCACAATTGTTTTAGTTAAATTGTAAACATACTTTGTTTTCATTATGATGACCATAAAAATATTTTTTAAAAAAATCAATTTTTTGTTTCAATAGTAGGGGTTGATTTTTAATATAACTCGTGTTATTACAAATGTAACTCACGTTGATGGTAAATGTAATTTATGTGTATACATAATGTAACTTGTTCGAAAATTGAACAATGATTTTTTTTATGTTTGAGATATTATAAACATTGATTTCAATGTAAACAATGAAAAATTGATCCAAATAGCTTAATTACTTTTTTATAAATAGTGAATATGTTTTATTTTTAATATTAGCGCAATAAAAATGATATAGCTGAAGTTTATTCGTGATGTAACTCGCGTATATTAAGATATAACTCGTGTACATTGAGATGTAACTTGTGCAGAAGAACATGTAAGCTGCCTGGGCATGAAGCCATGCATGCATACACACACATATAGATATATATGTTTGCATACGCTACTATAAAACCAAAGGAGAAGGCTCAAGCCTCACTTCCAGGTCGTTGAAGAAAAGAGGAAGCAAGGAAAATTAGATGGAAGACCAAGTCAAAATTTCAGAATCATCAATCTCCCAAGTCACTTCAACAGCAAGAGAAAAGTACTCCAACTCTTTCTCGGAATCCTGGACGAACATAATAATTATGGGCGAAGGAAACTCTGCAGCATCGCATCGGCGGATCGGCCTCTAGTCACCGAAGTCGACAGCAAATTTTACAGAGCAAGGTTTCTTGCATTTTTAATTAACAATACTACATAGTTTTGGGATCGACACACCATGCGCATGGTGTACCGATCCCACGGTATAATTTGCCGGTCAGATTAACGTTAAATTTGATCCATTTAAATTTGATCCAATTTAATCTATTTGAAAATTTATTGTCTAATATGAAATTCGTTTATAACCATAGTGTCCAATTTGACCCTTATGCCTTCTTTAATATCCATTTCATATATTTTCTTCTAGGCATTGTCCTTCCACATCATCTTCTTCGGCTCTTCGCTCCTGCACCTCAACATTTGTTAGGCTCCCCTATAATGGTGGGTAGACGTCGATTTAGACACTTAACGACTGTAGGCCTACCGATTATAACCAATTTGTTTTAGATATTTAAACGATTTTTCACTTCTTTGGCCGCGTACTCATGTACTCATGTGAGTTATTTTCTCTATTCGAACGATTTACATTTCCTCTTAATTTTGAATCACTATCCTTAATATGCGTACTTCAGTGTAATTGTTTATTTACATACTCATTATTTCATACATGGTATTATTTTTCAAATTGCTAAGGTAGAATTTTTTGGGTTCCAACTCATTGTATATTGAATTATGCCTACGGTCAATCTTTTGCTAGGTCGCGTGTGTTTCCAAAACTGTTCGTTGGAGTTGCTTCAAAAGCTAAAACTTGATTATGTGTTCTTCCAATTCTGTAGATTTTTCCTTTTATATTCACGCGATCTATGTGTTTGATGAAATGCCCGGCTTAAAATACTAGAATTCCGGAAAAAGAAAGCATAAAAAAGTAGTAATGATTAATATAATAAATGTATTAATAAAGTCACAACTAAATTAAAAAAGACAAAGCAATGGTCATACCGTCACAACTAAAATTATACAACTAATATAGCGTCACAACGATATATTAGTTGTGACTTTGTATATTTTAGTTGGGGTGTTCTACACTCCCCCCAATCTCAAGGGCGTGTCATGAGCTTGGAACATATCGTGTGATAAGAGGTGGGCGGTAAGCTTTTGGTGAATATGTCAGCGAGTTGTTGGGTAGAAGAGACAAAGCAGCGCGTGAAGTACCACTCTGAACTCATTCATGCACGGACAAAGTGACAATCAATTTCAACGTGTTGGTGTGCTCATGAAAGACAAGATTATTTACAATGTGTAAAGATGCTTGATTATCACAATGAAGGTGAGTTGGGTGAGAAGGAACATGTAGCTTGTGAAGAAGAAGTTGGAGCCATGTGATCTCGCTAGCAGCTGAGGCCATATCATGATATGATATTCGGCTACGGTAGCGAACGAGAAACGGTGGCCTCTTTCTTAGTGCACCAAGAGAGCGGGCCAACACCAAGAAAGGTGCACAATTCCTTGATTAGGAGCAACTTTGAGATTGCTGTAATGTATTATGCATAACATTCAGCTTTGAGATTGCTATCTCAATGTGTACCCAAACGACTCATCCACCTTAGTGATTATGTGTGTGATTTATCTCTTTTATCTAGTGCTTCCTTTACAACTCATCCTCTTACTGCTATACTTAACACTCAACACTATTTTGTCAATTTCGTGGTGCGGTGGCAGTGACGGATCTATGAATTAAGTTTTGGGTGTTCATTTTTTTCCTATAATTAAACTTTGAAAAGGCAATAAATAATTAAACTAAATTTATACATGTATACTACCATATTTTTCAAAATCCTAGGTATTCATATGAATACCTTTGAACTAAAGTGGCTCCGCCACTGGCGGAGGGTGCCTGTACATGGGTTATGATGATGTCTAAGAATGGGTGGAGGGGCGACGAGGAAGGTGTAGTCAAGACTTAGCTTGTTGAGTTTGTTTTTATAAAAACCAACGTCACACCTTGACAAAGATCTGTTCGGAGTTAAGGTCATAGAGGCGATATGCCTTTTGACCATGAGAGTAGCCAAGAAAGATACAATGTCAAGCCCTATGGGAACACTTGTGAGGGAAAGCGAGCTCTCTTGCTTCCACTGCGAACCGATGCCATGGAAATTGATTGAGATGGTATGCAACAGTGTTGGGGTGACCATAGGGGGTCGGAGCTGGTCATCAGGGATGCAAGACAAGCCTGAGGATGACACTGACAGAGAGGGGTGATGGGGAGGGGCTGAGATGGTGGCTGGGGAGGGGCTAGGGAATGAGTTGGCGATCTTGATGGCAGAGTCACTGTAACCGTCGACGATGTTTTATTGTCGGCGACAGTGGTCATATCATTGTCACTGTTGCAGATCGAGTTGGTCATGGTCACTAGCGAGGTTGGTCATGGTCACTGGTTAGATTGGTCATTAGTCGGGGTTGGTCATTGATTGGATTTCATTTGTGCGTTTGGTCATGGTTACTAATCGAATTGGTCACTGGCAAATTAGTCACTAGTTGGATCGATCATGGTCATGGTCGCTTGTAATAGTTTGGTTTCATTTTTTGAATTTTTGGAAAGTCATTATTATTTTCCATAAAAATATTTTAAATTATTTTTGACAAAACCCAAGTAATTTATTTTGAATTAAGCAAAATATGTTGGCATTATTTTGAATTATATCAAAGTGCACAAATTTACCCAATCGATAATCTTAAGTACCCCGTGACATTTTAAAAAGACTAAAGAGTCAAATATCCCCTTGTACCTGTCGAGTAAGCTCAACTTAGTTCATGAACTAAAAAAGTCGAAATCACACCTTGAACTGAAAAAAAAAATGGTTTAAATTTCAATTTTAATGGTCCCTTACTTTCAGATTTTTTGGGTGCTGAAAAAATGAGACAATCGAAATTTTTGTTGTAAAACCCAGGAAATGACAAGTGTGAATTGTTCATCCTTGTCATCATCCTTGTAAACAGGACACTAAGCTTCTTTCCATCCTTTTAATCATAGATAGACAAATGGCTAGGTTTAATAGTGCCAGCAAAATATGTAGAAGTAGTCTTTGATGATTCATCATCAAGCCCAGCTAGTATAAATATGGCTTGATCAAACCTTTGTAATGTAACTTAAAAAAACTCAGAAATTAATCAGATATTAAGAAGAAATTTAGAGTTTTTTTATCTATATATATCTATCTCTTAAAACTTGGTCTTCATCTTGGATTTTAACTTTTTTGAGTTTAGTGTCAATTGAGTACCTATTTGACCACCATTAAAAAAAGTTACGGAGTATGAATATTCGGCAGTCTCGACTTTAGAGTTCTGGACGGGAGTTTTTGCTACTTTTGCTCCCCCGAGTATTGTGTCAGTGACATTTTTGGTACATGATTTTTAATTTTTTCATTTTTAGTTCTCGACTATTTTTCGTGAGACACTTTTAGTCATCTACTTTCAAGTTTCCCACATTTAGTCCTTTTAGTATTATTAAATTGACATTTTTAGTTCTTCTACTATGATTTTGACACAATAAGTGGAGGACTAAAAATATCTCTATAGCAATAGTTGAAGGACCAAAAGTGTCACTTCTACAAAAGTTGAAGGACTAAATACGGAAATTTTCAAAGACGGATACAAAAAGTGTCTCTCGCACAATAGTCGAGAATAAAAGTGAAAAAATTAAAAGTTGAGTACCGAAAGTGTGGACTAAAAGTGTCAAAAACTATTCTGGACTCGCATGAGAGGTGAACAAAGCAGTTCTGTCCATCCTCTCTTAACTCAGCCCTCCCCGCCCCAATTATCTCAGACATGAAAACTGATTGCTGCTACCTCGGTCTTCACTGAAAACTACTAACCTCAGGCACGCATTCATGTATTTTCTCCACTTTGTTTTAATCTAATTGATATAAGCCCTGAAACGCACGGAAACGCCGGGGGTGGGGAGTTTCCCCGTTCCGGAAACGTTCGAACGTTTCCTAGCACAGGAAACGGGTGATACGCGAATAGGGGCCGTTTCCCAATTTTTTAATTTTTTTGGAAACGCGAATAGGGAACAATCAAACCTTTCATCGTCCGCTCTTCGTTCTTCAACCCTAAGGCCTACCCAGTCTTCCTTCCGTCCGCAGAGTTCGCCGGCTTCTCCAAAGGGCAAAGGTCGTCCGCTGTATTTGGGCTTCACAGGTCATCGACGGGCGTCGCCTCTTCACTCTTCGCAGGTCATCGTCGGCTCGCCGGCTTCCGTTCAGGTATATCCGTATATGTGATGTGAGTGATTTCAGAGCACTGGTTTTTCATCCTCCCCATCCTTCGTTTGTAAAATGAAACGCACGCTTAGTGGGCAGCGGCAATTGGCAAAAATATATACTTAAACCTTATATTATAAGGTTTAAGTATATATTTACCCATGTTTTTTCCAGATTGGAATCTACGGAGTATAATATTAGACCAATAGACCCCCACCCAATAAAAAACAAGAAAGTTTGCTGCTTTCATCAGTTTTTCAGGAAAAAACTACAACTTCCTCTAAGTTGCTGGCCCTAATGCTGTACAATTTAAAGCTTAGTTTCATTTCGTATTTGCATTCCCAATTAGCTTATTCATTTTGATGATTTGGGTTTTCTATGACTAAAGTGAATGAATCATATTAAAATTTCAGACATTGCTAAGAATCCAAGATAATTAGGATTGTAGCCTTGTAGGATCAATGGGCTTCTTGAATCCAATTATGTCAAGGTAGTCAAACTATAGTCACTTTGTGAACGAGTGTTCTCCATATGAGAAGTACAGTAGTAGAACGGATTGTATATCGTAAATAGATTGGTCTGCACAATAACGGTTCTATTATAAAATGTGTGTGAAATTGTGAACTGCTTATTGGTGGCAGTTCTTGGAAGTTGGAATGTCATTCCACGATTTTTGTTGGGCCGGTTCGGTGCCCCCTGCTGCATGTCTTCTTAATCTGGCAGTGTCAACTGGGATGATGTCTATGAAGTAGGGGTTTCAGTGCTGCTATTGGATTAGAACTTAGAAGAAAAATCGAAGCAAAGGAGCAGTTTTCAGATCCATGAAATCATGGAAATATAGGAGATTAGGAGGTTGGACTGGAAATTGATTTATTCTATTTTTTGCTGCAAGTGTTGTGGTATGAGTCGGTTTGAGAGTTATTATTGGGGGTGGTCTCATTCAGATGAGACTACAAATTATATCGAGATTGATTATCATTCTATTCGAGAGAAGGTAGCTTTTGGGAAGATTAGAACCTCATTTGTGGGCTCAAATGGCCATTTGACGGTTATTTTTTCCAAATGTCAAAGAGGGAACTAGGTGAACACATTTACACGGTTACACCAAGCTTGGTGCATATGACACATATGCTCCGGTTGAAGTAGACTTGTTGAGAAACATGAAGAGTTGCACACTCGCACATAGTTTCTATGAAGAATGTTAGTTGCATGTTTGTTATTTTTAGGCTAGAATGTTAGTTTTTGTTGATAGAGACAACACATCCAAGCCTTAGTCCCAAAGAGTTTAGGATCGGCTAGCATGAATTGATATATGAAATCAAAGTTAAAAAGGATATGGAATTAGAGGAAAATATAATTTTGGGGGAATTTGACTTTACACCCCATTTTTTGAGTGATATTTGACCTTGCACCCTATTTTCAAAATCATTAATGTGTGCACCCCATCCTTCACAATTTTTCGGATGATGGGGTGCACACATTAATGATTTTGAAAATAGGGTGTAAAGTCTAATATCACCAAAAAAATAGGGTTCAAAGTCAAAATCCCCTGAAAATATGTCAGGTGTTTGTATAAAGATTAAAGAGGCAAGTAGGAAAGAAGTAAACTGGATTAATTTTTAGTGAGCTCGCCTACTTGGATTGGAAAGAAGTAGGAGATAAATATAAGAGAAGGAATAGTTGCATTTTCTTTTTACTTGGGTTGTTTGAAAAGTGGGTAGAAAGGAAATGAATTTGTTTCTAAAGACATGTTTTCCCTTGCATACTTTCAAACCAAACATACCAATTACTAAAATTCTCACCCTTGAGTCCTTGATAAGTTTTCATTCCACTTATGGAGAGATTTTGATTTCAGGGCCAACACTTAATTTTATTTCCTTCCTAGTTCTCCACTGAGCCAAACAAGGTAATTCCTTTTTCTCTCTCACACTCCTCTCTTCTCATTTCCCTCTTCCAAAGACGATCCAACATTCCAACCAAAGAAAGAGAGAGAGTTTCTTCGTAGCAGTCATGTGCTATTGTGCTAACTTCATCATTTTATGTGTTTTAACTTTTAACAAGTGGCCAGTTGGGCCTTATTATTCCATTAGATGCGGAAAAACATAGCTGACTAAGAGGAGTAGAGAGAAATACAGAGAAAATGCTACTGGGTACTGCTAGGCATCCCTCTGCACCTTCAGTTCCAAACTTGCACTGTCTGCGACCAACAGTGTTAACATTCTCTCCATCTCAATGGTGTTTTAACTTGAGGTCAGTGGCTGTTCTCTATCAGCTTTACTCTCATTGAGTTTTACTCTCGTCCGCCCCCATCTGGGAAAATTCACAATGCAGTCTACTGTCAATAATTGAAGTCTGTAATTTCATTTGCTATTCAAATTCTGCTTTAATACCAGGAAGGAGAAGAAACTCTCTGTGACTTGTGACTACTCCTGTTTCCAAGTATGACTGATGCTAAATTACTATTTACTACTGCAGAATATATTCTGATATGAATTATAGATTTATTACGTTAATTATTTCATCATTTTGCTCAGCTCTGCTTGAAACATCACTTCAACTCCATTATCCTTACTTAATTTTACCTCTTTCCACAAAAAAAGACTCATATTTTACCAATATACTCCGTATAATTTTAAAATTATGGTAACATAAAATTAATAGAAATCATGAATCATACTTATATTTTTTGAATTTATGCATTGGTTTAACTTAACTTATCATATGTAACATGTCTATAACTCAAACGAGTAGCCAAGCCCAATGCACAAATCATCGAACGAGGGTACAGGTAGGGTTCCCACCCCTAAACCTTACCTTTCATTTTCTCGAGAGATGATTTCCAGAACTTGAACCTGTGATCTCTCGACTACATGGTTCCCACCCCAAGGCTCTCCTTCTATTACTGGTTTTGCAAAGTATTTTAACAAATTGCATTAACAAGTAGCCTTGTTTGATGAAATTAGATTCTTCTTTTGGGAAAAAGGGTCTCAAGAAGAGGTTTCTTATTTTGACGGGGGTAGTACATATCATGATATCAATGCCTCGTGCTAATCTATCTATTTATCCTATCTGGAGATAACGGATGTCAGTTATCGGCCTCCTGGGACAAAGGTCACCCTCTTGGATCAAGTCAATCTCTCTCTTCCCGAAAGAAGGTATCGTCTTGCTTTTTGTTTAATATGAACATTCTTTACTACAAACAATCATATATTCTTCAATCAAATGATTAAGTATGGATCAAAGCCTAATTGTGTTGTTGATCGAATGACATTAGTATTTATCAAGCAAACTCTTGATTTAGTGGGATGGAGGTGTGAAGATGGTGCGATCCTTGTGTGAATAAGAAATTTGCCTTTTCCTTGGGGCCATTATACATGCAAATCATATAGAAAGAGAAGCAAGTAATTTTAAGAAGAATACAAGTTTATTGAAAAGTTGAGTGTATGCCAAAGGGTGGTGCATTTATGAAATAAACACTAATCCCAATCCACCTTAGTAGGAACAGCTGAGTGATTTTTAGTGTTTAAGTTAAACAGAACAACAACAACAACATTACCCCAGTGCTGCAAAGGCTCCCACCTACGGTGAGGTAAGGGGGGTCGGATGTACTAAAGCATCGATTGACTGTTTCCGGATGACCGATGATGAAAACCGCGCTGAAAATTGCATGAACTGATTGTTGCTTCATAACAAAGAAGCGCAAACAGTTTAGTGAGCAATTTTGCTTTATTCCATAATATTTCCAAGCCAAAAAATAGTGAGTTTGGCTCCATTGGAAATGATGGAGTTAATTTAAACATAAATAGTAATTAAATTTAATCTTGTTTTTATATTTTAAAAACTCCAGTATTTCCTTGGTAAATACTACGTATCTAGTATGTGAATATAAACTAGCATCTTGGGAAGAGTTAATTGATATGTGATTTTCCATTTATATAATTTTAACAGTTGTGGCTTGATTATTGGACGCAGTGGAAGCGGAAAGACTACTCTCTTGCAAGTTTGTATTTCTCTTCATCTGCAACCCCTTCTTTTTCATCATTATATCCTTTTGTCTTAAGCAAACTGTTGAACAGCTGATTGCAGGATTAAACAAACCAACATCAGGTTCCATTCAAATTCAACGATATACTGATGATGGCCTGCCTTGTAAGTGTCCCGAACCATTAAACCCTGGAAGGGTTGGCATTGTTTTCCAATTTCCAGAGAGGTTCAACTTCTTATATCTTTTTTTTTTGAAATCAACTTCTTATATCTATTACCATTGAAATCAACCCCTGCTTCACTTTCAAACTTCAACGAGTTATTGCTATGGTTTTCCTCAAACTTGGGGATTTGTTTGTTCTGAACTTTTAATGTGCTGTCAACTAGATACTTTGTTGGAGACAGTGTGCTTGATGAAGTTACATTTGGTTGGCCAAGACAAAGCGGCAACCTTCATCTGAAGGAGCTTCTTGCTTCAAAGCTCCAAAAGGCCATTACTTTGGTATGCAACTTGTCTGTCTAGGAGTGACACACACACATTTTCTTATTGTCACGTGAATAAATTCATTTATTGATTTGTGCTATTTAAGCACATTGCTTTTATGGACTTAAAAGATGCTTGACAGATAAGTGAAGGGTGAAACTATTTGTTTTGACTAAATCTTGTGATTCTATATACTCTTAGGTTGGTTTGACAGGAATCTCTTTGGATAAAGATCCCAACTCATTAAGTGGGGGCTACAAACGCCGACTTGCTTTAGCAATTCAGTTAGTAAGTATTCTTTATATGCATATGTGGGCTATTTTATTAAAAAGAATGGAATGTTGGTGATAAGCTAACTGTTTAGATTTGGTCCTCTTATGTGCACAGGTTGAGAAACCTGATTTGTTGATATTAGATGAGCCTCTTGCAGGCCTCGGTATGCTCATTCTTGCTGCCTCTTTATACATAGTAATTTATTTGTGTAGGAGCTTAGGTATCAAATTTTTCTTTTTTCATTTTCTTTAATAGCATTGTACAGCCAGTGTTGCCATTACATCGTCTAGGCGATGCTGAGGCTTCCAGGCAGTGGAGAATGTGTGCTATGGTTGATCGCTTCCCCTGAAGAGCGCCAGACATTGAATGACACCACTTAGGCATCGATTGGGCATTGATATGTCAACCTTACCTGTTTTCTCTAGATCTAAATGGCAGCATCAGACTTGGAAAAAAAACATAAATGGAGCACATAGAAAAAAAGCTAAAGACAAATCGCTGACCGCCAACTTTGCGTTTTATTTTCATTTTATTCTTTCGTTAATTCTTTCCCTTTTCTTCATTTGTTGTACTTAATTTTTCTTTATGATGCTTTTAGTTTCTCTAGATAGCAATCACATAAATCACATGACCGTTTTTCGCTAAATTGTTTAGATACGTAAGACTCTTGTTTGAAACTAATATGATTAATTAGTAATTACTAGTCCATTTACTATATTTGATACTCAAATATTGCATATGGCTACTTGCCTGGTCACCTAGGCAGTTTGGTGGCGTCATATGTCACATAGTTGTCATTACAACCTTTTGTACAACATGGTTATTTGTAGCAGTCAGGTATTTATTGAATAAAGAAGGTGATAATCATCTCTTCTGTTGAACTATACCATTTCGTCAAAGGCTACATTAATATTTCATAAACATTTCTTTATGTCGCATATGCTACGTTAATATATCATAAACATTTCTTTCTAGCCAATTCTTGAAAGTTGAAAGGGCATTCTCCTTGATCTCCAGTTTCAATAATTCCTCCCCAGCATTCTGATGAAATGAAGATATCAATCTGTTTGTAGTAGCATTCACAATATGGTGTTCATACGAAACTACTGTCTCTTATTGCATTCATTTGTTATTGTTGTTGTTGTTGTTGTTACTCCTATGACTATTATTATTACTTCTTGATTTATTTATGGTTGAGTGAAGATTGGAAGGCTCGTGCAGACATCGTAAAGTTGCTGAAGAGTCTAAAGAAAGAGCTAACTTTACTCATTGTCAGTCATGATCTCAAGTGAGTAGTGCTTACTTCTCTCTGATAGAGTTTCTTATCTAGTTGTGGGTGGTTTCATTTTGTTGGATTCTTGACATTAATTGACACTATGTTGAATGGCATGGATTATTTACAATGTAGAGAATTGGCACCTCTAGTTGATCACTCTTGGAGGATGGAAATGGGGGGATCCCTTAAAGTGGCAGAAACCCCTCTTGCCATATAATGCTTTGAGGGGCATAGTTTGTTCTTGCACAAATTATTGGTGGCACTCAAGATTCAAGGGTTGATTACACAAGCGTGATTCACCATCGTGGATACAACAATTTCAACCACCAGCACCGTTATTGGCCATCAGGCGACCGTAGTCACGGTCAATCACCGCCGCCACAGTTCACGTGGTCCTGATATGACGTGTGTGATATTTTAGAAATATGTCTTGATAGCTAGATGAATCTTGCCGTTCTTTCCTCTCACATATTGCATCAGTATAATGCACCCTCCAACTATGATGATTTCTACAAAAAAACTGAACCTGTTGTAATTCCCTTTAAATTTTCCGTTTGATTTTGTCACGGTTAAAAAACAAGGAATTTTATCAATTCAGGACTCGAAAGATAGACGAATTATCAATCCGGGACCTGAAAGATGAAATGCATCAATATAGGACCCGAATGATGAAAAACTATCAATTTAGGACCTGAATGATTGAAAACTATTACTTTAGGACCTAAGTTGTCATAAATTTTATTTTATTTTTTATTTTAATTTTTTAAATACTATTTAGTTTTATTTAACTAATGAACTTTTATGAAGAAAAGTTTATCAAAAATTAGTAATGGAATTAATAAAAAATTAAATAAATCAAAACCTATGGAACATTAGGTCCTAAATTGATAGTTTTCCATCATTCGGGTCCTATACCGATATGTTTCATCTTTCGGGTCCTGAATTGATAATTAATCTATCTTTCAGGTCCTAAATTGATAAAATTCCAAAAAACAATTATCCACACAATTAAAAGAACTGATAAAAATCTAACCGGCCATATAAAAACAGTTTGCAATTATTTGTGTAAATAAGTTTTGTTTTAATACTACGTAATATTTTTGGGAAAAACCCATACTACGATCTCATATTCTCATTCTAAAATATCACATTTTTAACTTCATGAAACTTCCCTTTTGGCTACGTCTCTTGTTTTTGTTACAACGTTGTACTACGATCAAACAATTATTTTGTTACAACGTTTGTTATCAGACAACCAGCTAGCTAATTAACTTGATTCACCATTAAAGGAATCATTGCTCAGTACTTCAGTAGTCAACAACTGACTCCTTTAAATCACAAGTACTTTATTAAGATATTCAAAAATTTAAAAATTGCATAAGCCTTAGCATATGACAAACAAGTTCGTGGAATTCATGGGTAACACAAATTATACGATCGGCTCACTTTTCACATAGTGTGTCGATCTAACTTTTGGAAGTTAGGTATGTTCTTTACTTTCTCCCTGAAGCTTTTTCATTCCTTTTTCTTTTGCTTTCCTTTCTTTATTTATCTTTTCTTTTGCTTTTCAATTCATCTCCTTTTCCATCAAATTAAAATATTAAAAATTTAATTGCAAATTTATTTTTCTTTATCTTCAACATAAATTATAATTGAATCTATTTTTTTATTCTTTATCAATACATAACAAAAAGTTTATTAATCTAGATAAATAAGTATATTGCATTTCATTTTCATACACTATTTTTATTTTTCTATTATTTTTTATATTCATACAGCATTTTTGTAATATCTTTTTTGTATTCATAATTTTTTTTTGTAATAAACTTTTATATGCATACACTTTTTCTAGAATTTTTTTTATCGATTTTATATGTTTTTAGATGTTTTTAAGACATTGAGTTTATTTATTTTGATTCTTGGATTTACATTTGATAATAATCATAATATAAGAAGTTACATGTTATTATGCGTGAGTTACATCTTGTTATGCGTAACTTACATTTTTTTTGTGCGAGTTACATACTTTTATGCGCGAGTTACATCTAATTATGTGTGAGTTACATCTAATTATTTGTGCTTTTTTACTTATCTTTATCTTTAACTAATTAAATTACAACTGAATTAATTTTTTTCATTATCAATATATTACAAAAATTTATTAATGCACATAAAATAAGTATTCCCTTCGTCCCATTTAAACGTTCCCACACGGTTTACGACGTTTGACTGACCATAAAGTTAACTGACCCCTACCATTAGTAGAAATATTTTTAGTAAATAAAATTTACATATTCAGAAACTACGTTAAAACCGCTAAAAATTCTGATCAAGAAAATTTAAATCTGATAAAAGTTGGATATATAAAGTAAATGATTAAGAACAATGCACGTTGACTGGAGAATAGTGGACGAGAACCTTTAAATGGGACGAAGGAAGTATATTGTATTTCATAATCACAAAATAAAATCCTTGTAGTGAATAAAAAACCCTTATTTAAATCGATTTTCTTTTGGAAAAAATGATTTTTTGGGAAAAAATGATTGCTTTAAAACATTTTGTGGCCTTAATATAAAAACACAACGCATTCACTGCTTAGGGAACGTAAATAAGAAATTAGACTTCTTTTTTATTGATTACATTGAAACCATTGTTTTAGACAAGTTACATTTCAACTTGCCTGCAGTAACATTTCTTATTAACGTGAGTAATATTTATTTACACACGAGTTACATCATTTATGCTACCGGGACAAAAAGAAAAAAAAAACAGTTACTGTTCACGCGATTTTTTTTAATTGATCAAAACTGCATCATTTTTGGACCTGGAGCATGGTACTCACCGTGGATGATCCCACACCACAGTATACGAACTGCATGGGCAAAGAGAGATCTTACAATCCTTTTAACTTCAATTCTTGTACGTCGATTAGGGATTTAGGAATTAGGGGTGAATAAGGTCTCACTTTCTAGACTGGCCGGTGGGAAATTAAGGGCCTGTTTTCTAACAGAGATATTTTTCAGTTTTCTATTTTTGTTTTCTGTTTTCATTTTCCAGTTTTTCTATCTCCAATTTTCTGTTTAATTTTTTAGTTTCCATTTTCAAATCTGAAAACATTTTCATAAAAAATTTTCACCTAGTTCATGACCGACCAGACGATCGTAAGCACGGCCCCATTCCGAAATCAAACCTAGTACAGGGGCCGCCGGATCGTTGACCGGAATGGAAAGTTATTGGATCGGACTGGACGAGGGATCGCTGGGTCGTGGAACAGACAGGGACCGTCGGGTCGTTCACCGGACCGGACTAGGATTGCTCGGCCATCGACCTGACGGACTTGGATTGCTCGGCCGTCGACCGGACCGGACAGGGACTGCCGGGTCCAAGACCGGACCGGACTGTGGGGTCGTTGACCAGATCAGGTAAGAACCGCTGGATCGTTGATCAAACCAGATAGGGACCGCCGAGTCGTTGACCATATCGGGTCGGATCGAGACTGTAACACTTGAGATTAATTTAAATGGATTGATAGTATTACTCATACAAATAGGGTGCATTTCCTTTTAAGGGAGCTCATCAGCTAAGAACTCCAAAGTTAAGCGTGCTTGCATGGGAGTAGTCTTGAGATGGGTGAACCCCTCGAAAGTTTCTCAGGACGTGCATGAGTGAGGACAAAGTGCGCGGAAAAGGCTAGTGCGATTTGTCAGGACATCACTAGAAGTCCAGAGGGTGTGTTAGAGTAACTGTCTCGGGCCCTACGGGGTGGGGTGTTACAAAGACTGCCCGCCAGTCGACCAGACTGAACATGTACCGTCTGGTCATGGATTGGACCGGATAGGGACTGTCGGACCATCGATCAGACCGAACAGGGATCGTGAGGTCATTCATCGGATCGGACCACCAGGTCGTTGACCGGACTGGATAAGGACCGCCGACTCGTGGATCGGACCAAATAAGGACTGTCGACTCGTGGCTGAACCAAATAGGGACCGCCTGCTCATCGACCGGGCCGGACCGGGATCATCGGATCATCAACCGGACCAGACTGGGATTGCGTGGCCGTCGACCGGACCAAACAGGGACCGCCGGGTTAATGATCGAACTATACCACCGAGTCGTTGACCGAACAAGATAGACTCCGTAGGGTCGTTGACCGGACTAGAACTGACACCGAAGCGAGACCGGATCCACTACTAGGTGTAAATATGCAAATTCGTTGTGCTTGTAGTGGCATTGCAGCTTACACATTTTCCAATTTTGAAAAACTAGTAGAAGTTACTTCTCCAATTCATGAAGGAAAATAGAGACATATCTCATTTTTTGTTTTGGAAAACAGTTTGGTAAACAAGATTTTCTGTTTTCTTTTCTTCAGTTTTCCAGCAATTTTCTTTAGTAAACACGTTTTCTATTTTTGTTTTTCCACTTTTCCAGTTTTCTGAAAAACTAGAAAATATCTCTGTTAGTAAACTGTTGGGTGTGTTTCGAAAAAACGAACAAATATTAATTAATAAAAAAATTAATTAATTAATTAATAAAATAGCTAAAAGAAAAACAGAAAATAGATGGAACAAAGTTTAGCCAGAGCTCGCGCTACGCACGATGTCCTTAAAACGTATTCGTCGCCTCCCACAGTGCTAGGAGCGTTGCAACGACCGTTTCCCAGGATACGGTGGCTAACGAACTAACGTTTGAGCACACAAACGAGAGTTCCGGTGAACGGGAACAAATGCAGAACACTCAGGAATTTTCGGAGTAGCTGGAAGTGTGTTTAGCTCAAGAAAACGTGAGGAATGTATTGTGAGTTGTGTTGTTGCAAACCACCTGCTAGCTATTTATAGGAGGATTTGTTGTGTGTTAAATGGAGTGTTAATGGACCTGAACATTGGACATCAATGACCAGTCCGTTGGGCATTGAATCGTCCATAAACTGTCCATTTAACGCTGCATTAAAAGACAAGAACGTTGGACATTTATTGCTGTAATGGACAGAAGACCTCGAGCGTCTATGTTGCGAACAGAAGATCTCAAGAGTTCTGTTGCGACCAGAAGACCTCAAGGGTTTCTGTTGAGCCCTTCTGTTGCGGACAGAATACCTCGAGGGTTTCTGTTGAACCGAACAGAAGCGGAGCGGTTCTGTTGAGAACAGAACCTTCTTCTGATCCAGACAGAAACAGAGTGATTCTGCCAGCTTGGAAAAAACAAAAGAACGTTACGGGAAGAAACCAAAACTAAATCGTATCTTTGAATGATAGATTTTCGGACGACATTTGTGTCCGCAAGTCAACCGCGCACACGAGTCACGGTTTTTCTTCTCCGTTTCGGGATTTGATCGGCACCCCCTCTGCACGTAAGAGAGAGCCTTTACCTTTAGGAATCTTAACTCCTTAAAAGAGGTCTCCCTTTATAAGGGGGTGAAAATCCCTTGAGTTTTCCGGTGTGGTATAAAACACACTAGAAACCCATCATTTTCTCAGTTTTTCCATTTCAACGAGTGAACTTCGAGAATCAATTTCTCATTCACCCATTTGAGTGTACCACATATCGAATTGTAG